CCGTACAGGAGCGGATCGGCGAGGCAGTTGAGCATAGCGAGGAAGGCGCTTGCCTTATATCCGATGAAGAGCCAGTTGGGATACGGACAATCCTCCAGAAAAACCCTCAAAACCATCATGATGTGCAGGGGCCCGAAACACAAATAAAGAGTCAGCAAAATGCCTCCGAGAAGATTGAACACATGCCGGCGCTCCATCGACCCCAGAGTTCGGTTTTTCTTTACGTCCGAATAGATCTGCCAATAACAGAAACCCACCACCAATGCAGGAATGAGGAAACCCACTACAAAACGAGCCACGTTGACCCATTTTTGCTGATTTGACAAAGGAAATAGGTCCAAGCAGATTGAATAATCTTCATTATATTCGTAGACGCTATCTGGACGCACAGTGATTGCATTGAATACGACGCTAAAAATCCAAGCGGCAATGCTCACGCTGAGTGCAATCCTGCGCTTTCTAAACTCGCAAAACTGTAGCGGGTGAACGATGGCTAGGTAGCGATCCACAGCGATGCAGCTCAGAAGTACGGTGCTGGTGTAGAAGTTTGTGAAGAGCAGGAAAACGCACACGACACACGCCGTCTTTCCGTAAATCCACGTGTCGTTGCGAGCGTACTGAATCCACACGGGCAAACACGCGATAAACAAGAGGTCCGAGAGAGCCAGATTAAACATATAAACGCCCAACTCGTTCTTCAGACGGATGAGCCGGTATGACACAAATAGGAAGAAGACGTTGGACGGGATGCCGATCAGGATCATGGCCAAGTGCAACGCGACGAACACCTTCTTTTCTTGATTCTCAGACGGGTGGCAGTCCGAATCGTTCACGCCGGAGGAGTTCGTCCATCCCTCAGTTACATTCATCTCAAGACAGCTAGTTTATATGAGGAGGGATACAAACATCATTATTTGTTATGTGATGGTTTTACCGGACAGTAGACTAGCAACTATTAACTCAACAGTTCACACAAAATTGTAGTTTATTCAGGACCGTTTCAAACTCCGTGCTCTTTTTATGCTGCTCTTTTATATACATTCAGTGACATTGAAAATGGTCAGAAGCAAACACAATAATATCATAGATTTGAGAGTAATAAACACTACTGGTCAAAAGTTTGGAATAATAAAGATTATTTAATGTTTTTAAAGAAATCTCTAGGGCTGTGAAACGCGATTAATCACATCCAAAATAAAAGTTTGTGTTTACATAATATAGCCTATGTGTGTGAACTGTGTATAATTATTCTGTATATATAAATACACAGACATACATGTATATATTTAAGAAAAATGTGTTATTTATATATGAAATTTTATATATATATATATATATATATATATATATATATTAGTTCTGTGCAAAAATTAATTGCGATTAATCGCATCCAAAATAAAAGTCTGTGTTTACATAATATATTTGTGTGTGCTGTATAAAATTATTTTGTATATATAAATACCTATGCATGCATGCATATATTTAAGAATTATTTGCGCTTAAATTCTGTATATAAATATAAATATTATATAAATATAAATATTTAATATATGAATAACACATTTTCTTAAATATATACATGCATGTGTGTGTATTTATATATACAAATAATTAGATACATCACACACAAATATATTTTAAACACAGACTTTTATTTTGGATGTGATTAATCGCAATTAATTTTTGCACAGCTCTAATATATATATATATATATATATGAAGATATTTCTTATTTTAAATCTCTTTATTAGTTTTTCTGCTTGGAACATTAAGTTAACAGATAATAACATTGAATTTATGAAATGATCATTCCTCACTGTTGATACCCCAATAATACCCTCCCTCAAATAAACAACATACAGCTTCCAATTAAAAAAAAAAAAAAAAAAAAAAAAAAAAAAAAAAAAAAAACACGATACAATAACAATAACAACAGGACAAAGACAAAAAAAAAAAGCTATCTTAAAGTATTACAGAATAAAATACATGCTCAGCTTAAGTGTCTTGGGAGTTAGCCAGTAAGCAAATATTTCTTAAATATATACATGCGTGTGTGTGTGTTTGTATTTATATACAAAATAATTATACACAGTTCACACACATGTATTATGTAAACACAAACTTTTATTTTGGATGCGATTAATCGTGATTAATCGTTTCACAGCCCTAGAAGTCTCATGTCACCGAGGCTGCATTTGGTTGAGCAAAAATAATATTGGGAAGTATTATTACAACAGAATGTTCAAGTCATCAAAGAATCCAGGAAAAAAATCAAAAATAAAATGAAAATGGTTATTCATTAACGTTTATTAAAAAAGTTGAATAAAAATCTTTTGTAACATTATAAATGTCTTTAATATCAGTTTTGATAAATTTAATGTATACTTGTTTAATAAAATTATTATATGATCCACAGAAGAAAGTCATACGAGCGACATGAGGGTGATTTAACAATGAAAGATCTTCATTTTTGAGCGACACGTCCCTTTTATGCAGATTTATATACTGACTCATGATATTAAGAACAAAACTGTGTAAAATATATACAACAGCTATTCAATATAGTTATTATACAATACCTCCTCTAGAAATCAACCAACCAAACCTTTTGAAAACCAAGTGCATTTTAACTGCATCAAAAGCCCATGTGCTGAATATTTTAGATCAAATCTACTCACCATAAGTGCAGCAATTCAGCAACCCGTTTTTATGACAAAATATGATAAAAGTATTTGCAAAGATGTAATCGAAGGAACTGCACATTGCAACAATCTCCTTCACATGAGAGGAAGCAAGAGTGGCAGATACTACTTCCTTGTTCGGCGTTACTTAGTGGACAGAAACCACAAAACACTACAGTGAACACATCCTGCCTTCCTGAAACATGATTTGTCACTTGTTTACTGCATGTATACTCATATATAGCTTAAGTCTTTTAGTTACTCATGTTGTTATTTTTGGTAATTAAGTTTTGATAATGAGGTTGAGTTATCTGAGTCTGTAAGATTGGACTTTAAGCTAAAATATTTTGTCACACTTTATTTTAGGGTCCAATTTTCACTTTTAACTAACTATTAACAACCTTTTGCGTTAAAGGGATCATATAATGCCATTTTCATACATGTTAATTTGTTTCTTTAGGGTCTAAATGAACAGTTTGTAATATACTTTAATTAAATATTCTCATTAGTATTGTAAGAAAACACTCATTTTACTTGGTCAAAAACCGCTCTCATTTCAGTGCATGTGTCTTTAAATGATAATGAGCTTCGCTGACTCCGCCCCTCTGTTCTGTGGGGCGTTTGACACAACACACTGGAGTGTTGCCTTGACAACAGTTGAAGGATATTTTGGATAGAGAAGCTAGGGGGGGGGGGGGGGTTGGTTGCTAGTGCTAGTTTTGCGGTCGGAGCAGGTATGTAATTTTTTAGCAATCAAAAAGCATGTCTAATTAATTGAAATCATGTATTATGAACATTTTAAGAAAAAAAATTATATATGAAAAAAGATAAAAAAGATTTATCATAAACTTTTTGTAAAATAACATGCTGCACAATGAGCTTTACTGTTAAAATTAAAACATGGATTATTCCTTAAATTCGGTTTTATTTAAAAAAAATCATAATTTATTTGGATTAGTGTTAGTGTATTATTACATTATCATATATCTAAATTTTACTGTACAACAGTAATATATTTCTGTCAAGTTAAACCCGAACTTTTATTGTGACGGGTTAAATAATGGTAAGGGAAACACTCACTTGTTTTGATGACAGGGGTTGCGTGTATCCACTGAATGCTCGTGTGGAGTCAGACATATCTCAGAAACCATAGATGTTTTGATAGTGGGTTTGCGTTGCGTGCTGTTAAACGGATTAGATCTATTTCACAGAAGCCTTTTTCTCTCTGGAAACAAGCGCACACACCAAACAAATGCACAGAAATGCAGCACTCAAGAGTTTGGACACACCTGCTCATTTTTATTATAACAGTTCACCAGCCTTTCGGTTTAATCCTGTATCATATTTGATAGACAAATATGATCAAAACTAAAATAAAAACCTGTTGCACTCAATCCACTACATGTGTAATTGCACAAACGTCCAAACTCATGGTGTACTGGTCTTTTTGCTGTGAAATCTTTACATATTTTTTATCAAGTAGACATAATAACTTTGATATTGTTCAAAGAGCAACACTTACTGGACTGAAGCAACTTCATTTGATTTGATTGATTATTCACACACAATGTTTTAAAATCTCAAATGTGATCATCAGACCTTTGAGGAAGGTTTATTTGTTCATATCTCAATCATAATTGAATTTCATTATGTTTTAAAACTATACAGATATTTGACCATAAAACGAAGCATTTAAATATCATCTACTGGTGCCGACTAATATTTAAGTTAATTTTATATTTAAATATTTAAACACATCCAAACTTTTCTTTATTCAGCTCACTTTTAACTTTCTTATGATTTTCATGTGTCAGGCTTTACAGTGTCAACATCACGAGTAACATAAAATTCAGTCAATTCTGTCCTACTATATATATGAAGAGTTCAGATGCAAAAGCCTCTAAATGCCATTTGAAATTTTCTTCTAGAATGACCATTTTTATCAAGCTTGTATATTTAAGTTCAGTGATTTCACTTAAATGGCAATGATAATTACCTATTAATTGTTATTTAAGTGAAATTACTGAACTTAAATATACAATTTTGATAAAAATCATCATTAAAGAAGAAAATTTCAAATGGCATTTAGGCTTTTGCATCTGAACTCTTCATATATAAGCATTGTAAATACTAACAAATGATTGTCATTCATATACAGTATATTTGCAGTCTTGCGGTGTTATTCTAAACTCAGGCTTTCACCACAGATGAATAAATCTTGCTGAATTGTTTCCTACAGCTAACTAAGTTAACCAGTTATTGTTATTGTTAACCAGTTATTATTAACCAGTTATTGTTAACCAGTCAACTCAGGTTAACTCAGGCTTTCACCACAGATGAATAAATCTTGCTGAATTGTTTCCCACAGCACTTAAAAAGGCTTTTCATTTCAGTTTTGGCACTTTCACTTATGAGACAATAAATGATGGGATCTAAAACACTGTTTATTGTGGTGGTGGCCACAAACACCATGTAAACCCCTCTCAGGTTTTGCGCAACGCCGCAGTCTCCGGGCTCCAATAGTCCCCTGATGAACATCACCACCTGAAACGGGGTAAAAGCCACCAAGTAGGTGAACAGAAGACACAGAAGTAGAAAGCAGATCTTTCTCCGTTCGCTGACCACAGTAGATGTGCTTTTATTCAGCGCCCTGATGATCTCCATGAAGCAGAAGGTCATGATGAGCACAGGAACGAGAAACCCCAGGACGGCTCGTGTGATGGCCATGTTGGCAGCAGCTTTGGTCATTATCCCTGGCTCCTCGCACATTCGACTGAGAGAAAAGTTCCTGATCTCGTATGAGTACTCCAGAAGACCGAGATGAACCGTAATCTCCACCAGCCACACGATGACGCTCACCATCACAGCGGTTCTGACCTCTCGCACCCGTACGAAATGCAGCGGGAACACTATGGCTAAATATCGATCCGTCGAGATGCAGCACAGAAACCCGGAGCCCACGTAGAAGCTGTTGAACATGACCACCGCAATCACACTGCACAGACTGTCACTCACCGCCTGCCCGAATGCCATCATAATCCAGACGGGCAGAGTTAGGATATACAGGAGATCTCCGACACACAAGTTAATCAGATAAACCGCCAAATTATTGCCTTTCTTCATCAGAACACAGGCCACGTACAGAGACAAACAGTTCGCCGGAAATCCAATGATGAAGAATATCGAGTAAGCCGTCGGGTACATGTACCGCTCTATCGTGTTGCCATGTGTGCAGTTAGTCGAGTTTGAAGAAGCGTTGTCAGCCATGGTATTATTTTTCTAAAGAAGCTGAGTGCAACTCTCATCCTCTCATCATATAATACTGTGAATAGGCGTTGCCTTCATTGAAAAATAAGCCATGCAAATCATGTTTTGGAAACTAGTTCTGCATGGCTGCTGATTTCCAGGATGAAATGCTAAAGAGGGAATAGTGTGAATGTGTTTATTAAGTCTTTAATTTCTTTAAATGTATGGGAAATAATTCTACCTTCTAGAAATAATACTACTACATGGGCGGCTCCTGACGCCCTAATGACTCATCGACGTGGTCGGCCTCGACCCCTTGGTGCTGGGCGGTTGGGATGAGCCTCGTGGAACTGGGTGTGGAGGGATGGATCCCTTAGAGGGAATAGCCCCTTTTCCACCAAAGCATTTTGAGAGCCGGTTTGGAGCCGGTGCCTGCGCGCGAACCAGTTCTTTGTGTTTCGACAGCCAAAGAACCGGTTCTCGGCCAGGAGAACTGGTTCCAAAGCGGCACCAACTATTTGCTAGACTAGAACCGTTCTTTTACCACGTCATGCTTATGTCGGGGGCTGGAGCAGGTTTAGATCCTAAACATCTTAAACATCTAAACGTCCTAAACATCTTTTCTGACCATAATAAAGGATCGCAAAGCCAAGAGAAACATTTGCAGAAACACGATGGAGTCCGCCTTTGTAATTGTTATGCTTGAAGTTAACGCAAGCGTTTCTATTTTTGTAATTTTTTTTTATTGAAGACATTATAAGCAAAGAAGAAAAGTCACAATATAGAACAAATAAATGGAAAGAAAAAAAGACACAATTACAGGGACGCATAATTTATCAGAAAAAAATTACATATCAAACGAAAAGATTAAAAGACTTGCATATTTAAATTGTTTTTAAAGCTTTCTTGGTATACGAGCAAGCGTTTCTAGCTAAGACGTATGGCGACGTACACAGTGACGTAACGACGTCGTTCCCTGGGCGCTCTAGTCAGTGGAAAAACAAACAGGTTCTGAAGCGGATCGCAAGTTGAACCAACTTTGAACCAGCACCAGTTCCGAACCAGTTCTTTTTTTTGGTGGAAAAGGGGTAATTGTCCTCCCTTGCGACCGATGTGCGTTCTTCAGGTCCGTATCCCTCCCAGTCCACGAGATACTCCAGAAGGCAGACTCGTCGACGGGAGTCTAGGATGTTTCGGATGCGGTTGGTGGAATCTTCTTCAGTGACTTCAGGAGGAAGAGGTACGTCCATGACATCGGACTTTAGAGGGTCAGCGAAAGGCTTTAGAAGAGCGACATGAAATGACGGTGCGATGCGGTAGCTTGGGGGAAGGTGAAGCCGGTAGGTCACTTTGTTGATTTGTTTTTCGATGGGGAAGGGACCTATATTATCGAAGACTCAGCTTCTTGCTGGGTAGGTGAAGACGGATGTCTTTGGTGGATAGCCAGACTTTTTGACCTGGTTAATACGTGGGGGTTGTACCTCTCCTAGTGTTATCTTGATTCTGGTGACGTCGTATCGCTCTCTGCAAGTGGATGTGCACAGAGTTCCACACCCTTTCACTCGTCTCAAACCAGGTTTTGACTGCTGGGACCTCAGACGGCTCCCCTGACCATGGGAATAAAGGGGGTTGGTATCCAAGAATGCATTGAAATCATAGACTGTAAAAAAAGATGGACGACGCCCCTTCGCTCTTTTCCATCAGAGAGAACTGAAGCCGCCAGTGTCTCGATATGACGCTGACATCTTGGACTTGAGTCTGCGCACTTGCGTGTTTCGGGACCAGTCATGCGCAGTCGTGAGCAGGAAGTAAAGCCGCGAAATCAAGGCCGCGCCCTCATTCTCGCTGAATCAAACGCAAGCACATGACCCGCACTTTCATTAAGTCTGCTTCGTTCTTCTCCAATGATGTCTGCTGATTGCAGAACCTCGTTAAAATAAGGTAAATACAACTACTAACGACATAATCAACATTATTAAAAAAAAGTCTGCTGGTGCTTCAGTGACTACCTCGCACAGAGAACCTGTCAATCATGATGTCAGAGCACCGTTTTTATCATCACATAACTAACTAAAAAGAAATTTATTTTAAAAACGAACACTTGAACGTGATAGAAACTACTGTACAGTAAATGACAGAAACTATATGCGGATAAAGGATATGTGAAGTGTAATTTAATTGTTTAGTTGGTCTCGCGTCCCATTGAATAACATAGGGAGGCGGGGGTTATGAGCTATACTAGGACCGGTCACAAGGGGGCGATCGAGACGTTTTGGCTTCAGTTTTGAGGGCTTGTGCGGCACGCTTGATTGAAATGATGTGAGACTGGTGGTATACTGGCGTAGCGAGTTTTGAGCGTACTCTGCCCATGGGAGGTAGCGGCTCCAGCTGTTTTGATTCTGATGGCAGCAAGTTCGCAGATATCTCCCAATTTCTGCTCCGTTTGGCCGTTGGATTGAGGGTGGTAGCCTGAGGATAGGCTGACTGAAACTCTGAGCAACCTGAAGAAAGCATGCCAGACGCAGGAGATGAATTGGGGACCTCTATCTGAAGCTGTCTTCTGGAAGACCAATATGGCGGAAAACGTGTTCAAACAGCTTGTTGGCGGTTTCGAAGGCCGTGGGGAGACCCTTCAAAGGGACAAGCTTACAGGCTTTGAAGAAGCGGTCTACTACGACTGAGATGCAGGTCTGTGAGTCGGAAGGAGGGAGGTCGGGACCATGTTTGACGAGGAATAGGTAGAGTTTTGAGCTTCCCCTTCGGGAGCCGACGTGGGATATTGGTGGTGGCACAAATCGAGCATCCACGAACGTGCGCGATGGTGAGCCACCAGGACCGGCTACTGAGGAGTGAGAGGGTTCGGTGGCGACCAGGATGTCCAGATCCCAGGGAAATATGGACCGAGTCTAGGAGGGGTAGGCATTGTAAAGATGGAACATATGTCCAGCCTTCTGGACCTCCTGCCGGAGCCGGTTTAGCATTTGGATCTGATTGTCTAGGGTCCATTCATTTGGACTGACGACTATGGCAGGAGGGAGAATGGGCTCAGGAGGCGACATTGTGGATTCTGGCGCGTGAAGGCGGGAGAGTTGGTCGGCCTTCTGATTCTTTTTTCCAGTACGACAGGTCAAACGATAGGTTGAAACGGGTAAAGAAGAGTGCCCATCGAGCTTGGCGAGTGTTCAGACGTTTGGCTTCACGAAGGAACTCAAGGTTACGATGATCCGTAATGACCTCGACTTGATTGGTTTCTGTGGTTCGACATGTTATAGCACATGTGCTAATTTTGAACACCTGTCCAGAGGGGCTTTTACAACAAATAAAAGCACATTGTTAAACAAGACATGGCAAATTTTACACATGAGAACTAGGGCTGGGTATTGAGACAAATTTCACAATTCGATTCAATTTTGATTCACAAGCTTGCAATTCGATTCGATTTCGATTACGTTTCGATTCAATGTTCATTATTTTGGAGATCAGTTACAATAAATGGCGATTTTTCTTAAGGGAATCAAATTTCTTAACTAATGCTTTAAACTATGGGAGTCTAGTTGTAGCCTATAGGCTTCATTAGCCTAATATGAAGGTAATTAACTGTTTTGTAGCTATACAGACACTTAAATTACACTTTTATTTCTTTTTATAATAAGAAGATTATATGAAATATAAACATTTAAATGGTGGCTGTCATAAAAACTTGCCAGATTTATTCAAATATGCATTAAATATTGAAGAACATTAAGATTATAATGCATATGTAATATGGTGTATATATTTAGCAAAATGCTCCTCTCTAGAGTTATTTTTTCTAACTGACTAACGAGTTTGTGTGGGTTTTCTGAGGTAAATATGACGATACATGACATTGATTACAAGCTGTTTAACTGTCGTCTTTCCACGGTTGAAACGCTGATTGAGCGAATCAATGTGACATGATACGGATTTCGATAAGTTGTACTCTATCTTTAACACACTTTCAGATGCTCATTCATGTTTATTTGGCGCTGTGACTGGTATTATTAACCCGGAAGTGAGATCAGCGCTGCTGCTTCTCTTGAGCTCCGCCAGAGCGATCTCACGCCACAGCGCCAAAACGCTATTTATGTTTTTGAATTTCTAAAGAAAATGGACGTAATTTGAAAACTGAGACTTTGTTTCATATCAATACTAACAAAGGACAAAGATTATTGTGATTTTTTTGGATGCGCGCAGCCGCGATACAATGTCCCATTCATTCAAATGAAACAGGATGACTAATCGATTCTTGAGATTTAAGAATCGATATCGGTTCGTAAAAATGAGAATCGATTAATATCAAGAAATCTATATTTATTACCCAGTCCTAATGAGAACAACTTTAGCCCGATTTAAGCCACTGTTTGAGCTCTCTGGTAAGGATGTTAATATTGTTCTGCAGTTTGAATCCAATTGGGAGAGAGTTTCATAGTTTAGCCCCTCTGAAAGAGAAGCTAGACTGTGCAAAAGATTTCCTAAACTTTTCCTTTTTCCCTTTTATCTGGGTTTATCTTTGTTGTTTAATCTGTATCTTAACCTCTTTCTCTCGCGCTCTCTCGCTCACGACAGACTATTTCTGCACAAATTCCTTTAAGGCTGATGAACTGCAGATGTATCGTGTGTTATCATACCGTATGTACGGACAGTTTAGACATCTGGATTAACACCAGGTAACTGAAACATCTTCACAGATGTAATGTATATGTGAAACAAGAGTGGTTTATGTGAAGAATCAATCCTGGCTTCATCCTAATTCACATTTTTGTACTGCATGCTGGAAGTGTGCTGGGGTCTGTAAAAAATGTAAATAAATAATATATATATGTATATATGAAGAGTTCAGATGCAAAAGCCTCTAAATGCCATTTGAAATTTTCTTCTTTAATGATGATTTTTATCAAACTTGTATATTTAAGTTTAGTAATTTCACTTAAATGGCAATGATAATTACCTATTAATTGTTATTTAAGTGAAATTACTGAACTTAAATATACAAGTTTGAT